TGTCTGTCTGTCTGTCTGTCTGTCTGTCTGTCTGTCTGTCTGTCTGTCTGTCTGTTATTGATCAGTTTGTCTGTTTCTCAGACGGTCTCAGAATGCTGATTTTGCGTAAAACATCAATCACAAAACAGCCACAAACTCAGGAGACTGATATTCCATAGACTCTCTTGAACGAACAAACCAAACCAAAACTAAACAAAAACCAAAAACAAGAAAGAAAAAAGCGCCACAGTTGAAGTCCCCCTTACCCATACCCTCCCCAAAACTCAGCAGGTGCTCTCTTTATGCGAAGTAGCCTACGAAATGATGGAAGTAACGACAACAACAGCAGTAAACGCAACAGCAACACCACCACTATCAACGGCAACAGCTACCGTTGCGAAAACAATAAGCACACATACAGGATGAGTTCTATTAAAAGTCAAAGCTAGACAGACAGAAAACACAACACAAACAAAGTCACCGATTGCCAAATTAAAGGATTGTTGCTTTCCAATGGCTACTTCACGGAGACAGAGAGGAAAACAATGATTTGTACATGTAAAATCTCCCACGAATCAAATCTTGCAAAGGTTATTTTGTGTAAAATCGACGTTCACAAATTTAACAATCAACGTTACTGAAAAGGACTATAATAAAAGAATAGCATCCAACAGTATAGATTTATCGATCCACTGAACCAGTGTACCCCACTTCTAAACAAACAAACAAATAAACAGATAAACAGACAGACAAAAACAACAACAACAACAACAAACAAACAAACAAAACCCAAGCATATCATGGTCTAATTTTGGCGCGAGCTGCACGCGTTAAAGATCCCTTAGTGGTCCAAAATCGATAAGAGTAGGTTTCGGCCGCCACTTGGGCACAATTCAAAATTAATTCCTACCAAATTCTCGCGCCCCCACATGACCTTATGCAGTTTCGAGCGCCGTAAAACGCGTTGTAAAACGTAATTCTAGGGACAGATTTTTGGCTGCTAAAAAATGGAGCACAATATTCAGGGAAACAACTGTCTATTTAAATCCTTCAAATAGTTTTTACACAGTGATTTCCCTTTGAAACGTCCCAGGAAGGACCGCGGTGCAATTTTTTTTTATTGTTACTGTTACTTCATCCAAGACTGCCTTTGAAAATGGATATTTTAGGATATAGTCAGAGGTCTACGATACTCGCAACACAATAAGATCATACACGTACCGAAGATTAGAGGCGTTACAAGAGAATAACAAGCACACAAAAAGAAGGAGAGATAAAGTCGATGGATGTTTGATGGGGATGGAGGAGCAAACCACACTAGAGCATCCGCCAACCACCGACCAAAATGGGTAGATATATGTTCCCACGTGAGCTGTTGTATAAGCACTCTTCATCTCGCATTAGTTCGGCGCCAAAGTATCTCTTTAGGAGAAATATTTGCAACCCTATATCAAGAAGATTTCCATTTGCTTCGAAAATTGTTATGCCTTGGGCGTGTTTTATCTGCAGTTGACGGTGGTGTGGCGTATTTGTTTTCTTTTGTTTTGTTTTCTTTGTAAGTGTTTTACAGCACTTGCAACTGCATAAGGTCATATGAGCGCACGGGGCACGTTAGGT